GGAGCAGAAAGGGGCTGTCCCCAATGCCAGGCGGGCGTCGGAGCAGGAGGGTACAGCCTCATCCAAAAAAAGAAATCGTAGTAACGGAAACTCTTGCTCAACTGATCCTTCAGAAGACCTGTTCTGAAGCACAAGGAAGAGTGGAAGCATGGTTGGTCCAGGCTTTCAGACGAGGCCTGTAGGCCCGCAAGCAGCCTAGCCAGGAACAGAGAGGATGCAAACAAAATGGTCTCTCTCTTCTCTCACGCCAATCTTTCATCTCATCTAGTTGGGGAAAAAAATGAGGGAAGAGATTTGGCTGTGTCGGTCTTTCATTAATCACCTCTCTTCCTTCACCCAGCACCTCTTAACCAGGACTTGTCCCACGTCGGGCTGGAACGCGGGGTGAACTGAAACTGGTGTCAGCTGACTCTGAGACTGCCACGCAGCCGCACATCCCTACGTGAGCTTCATGCTTGGAAAGGCAGACGAGCCTCCAGTCTTCTCCAGCGCTATGGGTTCAGGTTCAGTTCAGCATTGTGGTTTAGCCCCAGTCGGCAACTGAGCACCCCGCAGCTGCTCACTCACCCTCCCCCCCCGCAGTGGGATGGGGGAGAGAATCGGGAAAAAAAGTAACACCCATGGGTTGAGATAAAGACAGTTTAACAGGGCAGCAGAGGAAGGAAAAAAATAATAATGATAAAATAATATACAAAACAAGTGATGCACAATGCAATTGCTTGCCACCCGCTGACCAATGCCCAGCCTGTCCCCAAGCAGTGATCACTGTCCCCTGGCCAACTCCCCCCAGTTTATATACTGAGCATGATGTATGGTATGGAATGGTATGGATATATGGATATAACGAATTTTTGATATTATGGATATAATGAATACATGGTATGGAATAGCCCTTTGGCCAGTTTGGGTCAGCTGTCCTGGCTGTGCCCCCTCCCAGCTTCTTGTGCACCTGGCAGAGCATGGGAAGCTGAAAAGTCCTTGACTAGTGCAAGCACTGCTTAGCAACAACTAAAACATCAGTGTGTTATCAACATTGTTCTCATACTAAATCCAAAACACAGCACTATACCGGCTACTAGGAAGAAAATTAACTCTATCCCAGCTGAAACCAGGACAAGCATGCTCACAGATAATCATCTCAGCAGATTTAAACATGCATTTGGTATGCTGTAACTTTTGTAACTCCAAAGGTGCACTTTACTTTTAACCTATAAACAAATGAGATGCATATCACAGTCAGGAATATCAAACTGGCAGGGAAAAATAGTTGTGGGCAAAGCTCCAAATACGTATTTACAATTCAGTTGTATTTAGCTCATTGTTGTTGTAGTGACAGGGTGTCAGAAGAGAACAAGATTCAGGCCTCAGGGGTAATTGTGTGCTACAAACATGTACAAACAAATTCTACTTGGGCCAGTCATTTTTGCACAAATATTTTTCCTAAAGGAAATTTTAACTTCCTTCCCAGAAAACTTTAATTGTTTTAATAGTTAAAATTGACAACAAACCACCTTATCTCTAAGCCACACAGTACAAAGACTCCTTTATGCTCTTTCTGCTCCCTAAACAAAAGCTGGCCAAACAGATTCTGTTTTAACTTCTACTGTTTAAAACAAATACACCTCTTTTTCTGCTCAATAATGTGACAGGACAACAAATGTCACCAATACAGAGCAGTACAGTAAGAAATACCACTATCTGCCCAGGACAGGGGAAGAAGGCATCTTTCCTCATTGGACTGACCACAAACAAGAATCTGAGGTCTACCCATAAGGAAGAGAAGACTTCTTGCAAAGCCTTGGTAGCAAAATATACAAGCCATCTGTTCTTATTATTTACTTACTATGTAAGTTACACATGTTACAGTATTATGAAATGTCCTTTGCTTACTGCTAGAGACATTCTTACTCTTGCTCCCACAGAACACTATCTTCCTGGGGTGGGGGAGAGGACATCTTTTTTTTTCCAGCCCATTTCAAGAAGGCCTTCCCAGAATGGTCATTCAGTTTGCTTCTGCAAAGAAATCACTTCTCTGTTCTTGTTCCAGAGCAGAACAGATAGAAGACTATTCTGGAATAAAATAGGAATTTTCACTTCTCTGAACTGCTTTATTATGCCTTTATTAGGATGCATACCAAACACCTCACAGGCACTCCACTGTTTTCCTTACATTGTTGTTACCTGAGACTTCCATTTGTTTCTCATTCACAGCCATGTGGCTTCTCAAGTGTAAAACATTCAATGCACCCATGACAACTGCAAAATGAACTAACTGCAGACACAGGGGTGTCTGTACTGGGAATTCTAGAGTATTCCAGGGTTTTTAGTTACTAATATGTATCACCATTATCTGTAGTACAGGAATACCTGCAACTCATGCAGCCCAAGGACACACTCTGCCAGAATGCAATAATTAGAGGTAGTGTCAACTCCTCAACAGTCCTTGGCAGGCTAAGAATTCAGATTCTGGACATGTTTTTCTTCACAACCAGGTCCCATTCTGTATTCGATGAACTTAGAGGGACTTATCCAAAATTCTG